TAGGTAAGGAATATACAGGAATAAATACATATAATTGGCAAGTAAATCATATCTCAATCAGATCAGCATTAACGTCCATTAAAGGCTACTCGCAACAGCCAGGCATAGACTACAACGAGACATTCGCACCAGTTGCAAGACTTGACACTATAAGAGCACTGGTAGCACTAGCAGCTCAAAAGAAATGGAGAATTTATCAGCTAGACGTAAAGTCTGCATTTCTAAATGGAGAGCTCGAAGAAGAAATATATGTGGAGCAACCACAATGATTTATTGAGTAAGGAGGAGGAGAAGATCAAGCACTTAAGCTAAAGAAAGCCTTGTACGAACTTAAGCAAGCGCCACGAGCATGGAACAACCGCATAGACAAGTTCGTATTAATGCAAGCTTCAGGAGGAGCAAAAGCGAGCCTACTCTCTACACCAAAACTCAAGGCAACTCTGATATCTTGATCGTCTCTCCATGTGGATGACCTCATCTACACTGAAAACAATGAAGAAATAATTCAAGAATTCAAAAAAGAATTGATGAAAACATTCGAGATGAGTGACCTTGGGTTGATACACTACTTTTTGGGCATTGAGATAAACCAAGGAGAAGATGGAATCTTCATATGCCAGAAAAAGTATATTGAGAATCTATTGAAGAAGTTCAAGATATACGAGTGCAAGATTGTGGCTACTCCAGTTATCCACAATGAGAAATTAAGAAAGGAAGATGGATCAAGTACAGGAGATGAATCAGTTTATAGAAGTCTCATTGGGAGCTTACTATACTTGACAACAACAAGACCCGACATCATGTACACGACAAGCTTACTATCAAGATTTATGCAAAATTCAAGCCAGATACACTATGGAGCAACAAAGAGAATATTAAGATACTTGTAAGGCACAATTGACTATGGAATATGGTATAAGCCAACTACAGATCCAAGACTATTTGGCTACACATACATTGATTGGGCTAGATTGGTGGATGACATGAAAAACACATCAGGCTATGCATTTACAATTGGGTCTGGAATATTTTCATGGTCATCAAGAAAACAAGATACCGTGGCACAATCATCACTAGAAGTTGAGTACATAGCAGTAGCAAGTGCAACATGCCAAACTATATGGCTCAGAAGAATATTTGAAGATATGGGAGAGTGCCAAACATAAGCTACTAAAATACTTTGCGACAACAAGTTTGCTGTAGCAATGGCAAGGAATCTAGTGTTCCACAGTAGGACAAAACATATCGTCATCAAGCATCACTTCTTACGAGAAGTCTCAGCAAACAAAGAAGTTGAGCTCAAGTACTGCAAGACAGAGGACAAATCGCAGACATCTTCACTAAGGCACTTCCAAAACCAAAAATCGAACTGCTACGAAACATGCTCGGAATAACACAAATGTGCATTAAGGAGGAGTGTTAAACATTAATGCACACTTGTGTGATAAAACTAGAAAATTCTAGAATAAGTGAGAGAATTACTATGTAAAAGTTGTTTAACTCTTACTAGAATCATCCTAATAATTATCTATGGTAATTATAACTAGAAAAATCTAGAATTAGAGGACTAACTTGTGGCTGAAAATGCTTTAGATAAAGTCGGTTACTGTATAACCGACTTGTCCAAAGAAAATTGCCGACTTAGCATCTGTATAAGTAAGCATGCAGCCCACTCAAAGTAATCAAGCTGAAACTACCAGTTGTTCTATACCATCTGTCTTATATCCAACAAGCCTTGTACCTTTCCTACTTCAATCAATCAAATAAAACTACTTTGTTACTTTAAATACATTTCAAAATCTGTGGCCACTCTGTAGGACTAAAAGAAACTTCATTGGACTACACAAATTTCCAATGGTTTCTTTTTCCACAAGCAAATCAACAACACCTATACATAGGCATGAAACAGAAGAGGTAAATGTCAACATTTTAAGATATACAATATTTCAAGTAAAGGAGGCTGCAGCTATTTTTGTTTTCATTGGATTATGAATGGTCAACTTAGCAGAAGTTTCTTTGTGATTCAATTGATAATGAAGACAAAAAAATTCTATCTGAATCTTTTTCTTTTTTAGTTCACTTTCCTTGACTTTTCTTTATGTTATCTGGACCAGGAAGTAATTTCCTTATCTTTTCTCTGTGTTCAAATCGAAAGTCCAAGTTTCACACCAGTTTCAGCCATCTATTAAATTGAATTGAAACAGAGGAAAAGATTATAAAATACAAAGCTAAACAGAACATACTGGAATGGCATCTTTCAGGTTTCAAATCTATATCTTGGCTTTCTGTGCAGGCCTTGTTATTCAAAGCAGCTGCCATGGCCATTCTGGGCTTCAGAAAAAACATGTAGCCCTGTTCATCTTTGGTGATTCACTCTATGATCCGGGAAATAATAACTACATAAATACCTCAAAGGTTTACAGGCCAATTGGTTGCCATATGGTGAAACATTCTTCAGGTACCCAACTGGTAGATTTTCTAATGGGCGTTTAATCTCAGATTTCATTGGTAAGAACCATCTTGTGAGTAATATTGTTTCTTTCAGTCATTAACACCTTTGCTGCTAACTGACAGCAACTGATAATACAAACACATGATACAACTAACTATTGAATTTTATATTCATGTTTCAGCTGAGTATGCCAAGTTGCCAATTATACCAGCATATTTACAACCTGGGTTGAAAGACTATACTTATGGGGAGAACTTTGCTTCGGCTGGAGCTGGCGCTCTAGTTGAAACCTTTCAAGGATTTGTATATGATCCGGCTTATTATATGTTTTCCCTTGTTATGACTTCTAGTTACAGTTGCAGCATCTCAATATGTATTTTTGGTAATTCGCGTGCTTTTCGTTAGCATGATTTGATTATGTGATCTGTTGTTTTCAGGTGACAGACCTTAAAACTCAACGAAGTCAATTCAAGAAGGTGGAGAAGCAGTTGAGGCAGAAACTAGGTGAAGCAGAAGCCTACACATTGCTGTCCAAAGCTGTCTACTTAATCAGCATTGGAGGCAATGACTATTTTTCCCCATTAGCAACCAATACCAGCCATGAAGAATATGTTGGCTGGGTTATTGGCAACCTGACAAGTTGGATCAAAGTATCTTCTTTTTCACACATACATATCACGTGAAAATTTTTAATTCGAGTTTCTTCTTTCTTCTATAACTTGTTACAATTTGTGTACAAATTTGTGTCTTCTGATTATGAATCTGGAAAGATCTTTTGGAGGAGTGATTTGATATACATTTTGTCAGGATGTATACAAGAAAGGAGGCAGGAAATTTGGATTTTCAGAATCTGGAAAGATCTTTTGGAGGATTGATTTGATATACATTTTGTCAGGATGTATACAAGAAAGGAGGCAGGAAATTTGGATTTTCAAGCATGAGAGTGATTCAACCAGGAAACACAGGCCCTTCAGGGGAAGAAGTTACAGCACTTGAGAATCTACACAACAGACTACTTTCCAAACTCCTCACAAAGCTGAAGAAAGAGCTCCAAGGATTCAAATACTCAAAGCTTAATCTCTACACTTACGCTAAAGAAAGAATTA